CCCTGCTCATCGTCTGGACCCTGCTGGGCAACGTGCTGGTGTGCGCGGCCATCGTGCGCAGCCGCCACTTGCGCGCCAGGATGACCCACATGTTCATCGTGTCTCTGGCCGTGTCCGACCTCTTCGTGGCCTTGCTGGTCATGCCCTGGAAGGCTGTGGCGGAGGTGGCCGGCCACTGGCCCTTCGGGGCCTTCTGCGACGTGTGGGTGGCCTTCGACATCATGTGCTCCACCGCCTCCATCCTGAACCTGTGCGTCATCAGCGTGGACCGCTACTGGGCCATCTCCAGGCCCTTCAGCTACCAGCAGAGGATGACCCCGCGCGTGGCCCTGGTCATGGTGGGCCTGGCCTGGACCCTGTCCATCCTCATCTCCTTCATCCCGGTCCAGCTCCACTGGCACCGGGACGAGGCAGGCTCCCCGGGTGCGGTGGACCCGCCACCAGCCGACCTGGCCAACGGGACGTCCTGGGGGACAGCGGGGGACCCAGAGGTGCGGGAGGAGAACTGTGACTCCAGCCTGAACCGCACTTACGCCATCGCCTCCTCGCTCATCAGCTTCTACATCCCCGTGGCCATCATGATCGTGACCTACGCTCGCATCTACCGCATCGCGCACGCCCAGATCCGAAGGATTGCCTGCCTGGAGAGGGCGGGGCAGCGCGCGCAGAGGTGCGGCAAGGTGCTGAAGACCCTGTCGATGATCATGGGGGTCTTCGTGTGCTGCTGGCTGCCCTTCTTCCTCCTGAACTGCATGGCCCCCTTCTGCAGCCGCCGCCCCGAGGGCGCCCGCGCCGGCTTCCCCTGCGTCAGCGACACCACCTTCGACGTCTTCGTCTGGTTCGGCTGGGCCAACTCCTCCCTCAACCCCGTCATTTACGCCTTCAACGCGGACTTCCGGAAGGTGTTCGCCCAGCTGCTGGGGTGCGGCCGCCTCTGCTCCCGGCGGCGCACCCGAGTGGCGACCGTGACCCTCAGCAACGAGCTCATCTCCTACGACCAGGACACCGTCTTCTCCAGGGAGACCGCAACCGCCTACAGCCACGTGGTCCCCAGCGAGGTGACCCCCCACCACAGGGAGGGGGACAAGGAGGAGGAGGGCCCTTTGGATCTCATGTGCCAGAACTCTCAAGCGTCCCCAGAGGGTGACCCTGCCGCCCAGTCTGTCTGGGAGCTGGGCTGTGAAGCGGAGACTTCATTAGGCAAAATGCCTTTCTCCTCAAGTGGGTTCCATTAAACTGCATACAAATGCCCTTCGTGGACCTACAGAGCTGCCCAGACACTGAAGCACGGGGAACACACACACACACACACACACACACACACACACACACGTCCAGTGTTGCTCGGATCACCATCGCTCCTGTCTCTGTGTAGTAGCGTTTGTGCTTAGAAACCTTACCTGATTGGTTTGTTGTTGAAAGAATTGGCAGAAGCAATTGGGGCAAACTCGGTGTAATATACCCCAGTCTGGCAGATGCGGACCGATGGTCCTTTTAGAGGTGGTGTTTGGTCCTTACAAAAAACTGGAAATGTGGGACTTAAACATATATCCTCTTCCCCTTTAAACTAATGGATGGCTCAGCGACTTGGGCTCGGGCGGCTTTTTGAATAGGTTCGGCGTGTGCGGTGCTGACGGGCGGGTGGCTCTGCTCCCCTGTCTCTTGCCTCCCGGGGCCTGTGTTGAAGCAGCATCTGCGCTCGGCGTCCTCCGACAGCTGAGGAATGTTTCCCGACGTGTCCTGGTGTCTAATAAACACAGATTGTGTGTGCGACGGGTGAGTGTCTTGCTTTGCCCGGTTGGTCCGCAGGATGGCTCCTGCGGAAATCATGAGCGCGTCCTTTCAAAGCAGGGAAGACCTCGCTGGGGCTGGAAGCACATGGTCTGTTTGTTTCCTGTACGGACAGCTTGGCCTAAAAGAGGCACGCAGGGCCAAGGGATCTTTTCGTTTGTTTGTTTGTTTCTTGTTAATCCTCACCTGAGGGCATTTTTTCATTGATTTTTAGAGAGAGTGGGAGGGTGGGAGGAGGGGGGCGAGAGAGGGAGAGAGAGAGAAACATTGATGTGAAGGTGACACATTGATTGGTTGCCTCTGCACACTCCCTGGCTGGGGTAGGGGAGCAAACCTGCAACCAGGTACGTGCCCTTGACCGGGAGTGGACCCCTCGACCCTTTGGCGTGCAGCCTGATGCTCCACCACCGAGCACACTGGCCAGGGCATGGGCCAGGGGATCTTCAAGAGCTTCTGATGCCTCCAGGATTTTTAAAAAATATATTTTATTGATTTTTTACAGAGAGGAGGGTAGAGGGATAGAGAGTTAGAAACATTGATTCAGCTGCCTCCTGCACACCTCCTACTGGGAATGTGCCTGCAACCGAGGTACATGCCCTTGATGGGAATCGAACCTGGGACCCTTCAGTCCGCAGGCCGACGCTCTATCCGCTGAGCCAAACCGTTCAGGGCTCAGAATTATTTTTTATTAGACACAGACATCTGGAGTCTGTGCTGAGAGCTAGCTTCAATGCCACGGCATCAGACACCAACATCTCAAGCCTGAGATTCTTTTTTATCTGATTTGGAATCTTTTTTTTAAAAGAACATAACACAAAACAACTCTCTGATTCCTAGACGGTTTCTATCAGTTCTGGGAGGCGATCACATGGCATAACAGCGAGATCTGTCTCAGCTTTTGATCAACCGTGTGTTCGGAGGGACGTTGACATGCTGACCTACTTTGGAAAACAAATCCCAGTTTTAAACAGGGATTTTTATGTGTAGACAACAAGCAGTGAGGGACTGCACTTTAACTAAAATGTAGGAGCGAGAGGCGACATTTGAATGAACTTGAAAAACCTGTGCCTTGAGGGGCTCCTCCAAATGCCCAATGAGGTCCAGTCATTTCCCTCCTCCCCCCTCTC